CAGTCTCCCCTTTCCTTGACTCTTCACCACGCAGGAACATCTTTCAGCTTCTGGAAAAGTGTTTGTAGAGACAGACCACAGAGACACATGAGGCCCAGACTTTAGAAGGGAAGGGGACCGGTGTCCCCTCAGGAAGCAGGCCAAGTTTCTCCTCGGGAATTCGGCGGAAAGTAACTGTGACCTAGAAGCCAGCCACCTAACCCCATGTGTAAGTTTCTGGCTGGCTCCTTCTCTAGCTGAGAGGTGAGGTCAGGTCACCTGGGGCCCCCGACACCGTCCGAGATCTGATGGGATGAGATCATAGGACCAAGAACCAATTCAGCCACTTGCAGAGAAACGAGAGGGCCCTAGAGTGCGGGAAAGGAAATTGCAACGAAGCTCGGGTGCACATTTGAAGAAGAGAGAGAAAACAGAAGGCAGAGAGAGGAGAGCAGGCTACATGGGGGCGGACACACTGGTGCTGGACTGGGACGGCGTGCTGCCCTGGGGCCTGGGAAAAGCTCACATACCACCGATCTAGAAGAGCTTCAAAAAATACATCTGTGAATCAAAAAGAATACCCCCAAACCCCCGTGAGAAGTGAAAGCTGCCCCTGTCCGAAGGGGCAGGATGCCCTAAAGTGAAGTGACACAAGGGCTGTGGGGTGGGGAGCAGTGTTGAGGCAAAGGGCAGAGCCACACTCAGCCAGCACCAGGCTACAAGGGCCCTGTGAGGCCAGGCAGAGCTGGGTTTGCTGCCTCTGGTCTGCTGCCCGGGCCCCATGTGGCATCTGATCTCTTTCCTGCCACCTCCACTAGGCAAGTAAGCTTGGTGGCTCTACAGTTTCTCCTCTGCATCAGCCGGTATTGGAACAGAGCTTCTCCCCTGTAGTCCATGTGAGAATGAGTGGGCAGGCTCAGGGCCTGGGAGCATGGTCTGGACTGTGGGAGCTCGGCAAATATATCTGCACCCAGCCTTTTCTGGTTCTCTCCTGGGTGCCCTAACTCCAGTCCTCAGAATCTCAAATCTAAGACCAGACTATCTATGCTTATGCAGGTAAACCAGTCCTATGCTGGCCTCAGGGCCTTTGCACTTGCTCCTGCCTCTGCCTGGAATGCTTGCTTCCCCAAGTATTGACCAAGAGGCTTGACCCCTCCCTTCCTTCAGGCCTAGACTCAAAGGTCACTTCCTTTGAGACTATCTGGAGAACTTTATCTGAGAGTTAACTCCTCCCTCTAGAAGTCACAGCCGCTTTCCTTACCTACTTGCTTCCTTCTGAATATTTATCACTATCTACCAGATTATTTATTTATCTTTGTTTATTGTTGGATTTCTCCCAACTACAATATGACAATCAAGAGGGCAAGGATTCTTTTTCTGGGTCTTCTTTTGATCACTGCTGTGTCTCCACCCCCTAGAATGATGCCTGGCACACAGCAGGCATTCAGCAAATACTCACTGCATGAATGAATATGAAACCAAAATGTTGGATTTCATGGTCATCAAGAATCAAAGGTCACCTAACTACTTGGGAAATAGAATCTCTTGCTGGAGTGGTGACCAGGATGGCTCAGACTTCACCAGGCCTGAAATCGGTGTTATTAAAAAAAAAAAAAATCAAAATGGGCAAAGAGCACCAAACAGCCAACCAGAGATTCTGCATGTTTATGTTTTAACGTGTAAACCTTCTCAGTTGTAAGAGATGGAACAGGTAGGAGACCCTGACGACGTCAGGAAACCCGGAACCACATAAGTATCACACAGAGGGAATTCAGGTTCAAGACTCAGCCCCACTGGTGAGGGGTTTAGAAAAACCAAAAGGAACCCCTTGTCACCCAGAGATAATATCCAGAGGAAACAGCTGTCTCCATCTCCTTGGGCCGGGGCACCAGAAAGGATGGGTGGGTACCTCAGACCCAGAGGAAGAAGAGGGTGAGGTGGGAAGCCAAGATTCTAAGAACAAAAGGACAGAGGACAGATGCAGGACAGTTCCTGAGGTCAGCCCTGCCCAAGAGAAGGCCAGGAAGGTAAGTGAGTGAGCGAGGTCCCTCCACGTGTGCAGGGCCTGCAGTATCTTTACACAACATGTGCCAGAGTGAAACATTCAAGGCCATGGACAGTCCCCGAGCCTAACACCACAATGTGTGTGCCAAAGGGAAAGAAAAGCCCATTCTCTCCACACAAACACTCTCCCCCATAGCACGACTTGAGGGGCGAAGGAAAAGGGCTCAGCATCCCTTTAGCTGCATGCAGACTCAAAAATGCAAGTGGGGGGCAAGGCTTTCACGCCCCATGATGGGGTTCAGTCAGACATTCCCAAGAAGAGCTACCTGCCTGCTCCCAGCATGAGCTCTGAAACCCAGATCTGCTCGCAAGGCTCGCTAATAGAAGTCGAGAGCACAAATCTAATCTGGCCCAGAAGCATTTCAATAAATTTCAGTGAGGGAATCTGGTGGGGAATGATACTGAGGAAACCTGACATTTCCCATAGAACACACACATCCGGTTGCCTTCTGTACTTACAGTTTGTATATCCAGACAATGTTTTTATGCAAATAACAAATCTGCATGGAAATCAGGTAGAATCTTCTCTTAATACATTACTATTATGTACTTGATTCAGTGAACAATTTCCCTGGACTTAAAAGACTCTAAGAAAAGAAAGGGGCTTCCCCTGGGATTGCACAACGGAAACTCAAAGGGGTGCCCCAGAGCAGTAGCAGCGTGCCTCATGCAGAGAATCAAGGACCACCAGGACAAAGAATTAAGGTCACCCCATCTCTTCCCCTCCAGGGGGTGCTGGCCCAGCCCTCAGAGGGGTCTCCCCTGAACAAAGGGGCCAGCAGTTCCAGTAGAAAGCCTTTCCACCCAATCACTGGTCCCCATCCTAAGCACCTGCCCCACCCCCCCCCCCCCCAGCAGCAGGGCTAACACCCAAAACTAATTTCTCCCTCCTTCAGACACTTAAGCAGCTCTCCTATCCTTCTAGATCTTCCTTTCCCCCTGGTAATCCCCCTCTTCCTAAACCTGTCTCACTCTCACTTCAGACACACACTCTGTGTCTACATCTCAGGAACCCAGAACTGACCCAGCACTGTTAGCACAAGGACAGATGGGTCAGAGCCAGGGTGCGTGCAAAGCAGGTCCAGTGGCTCACACCCACCTCCCTTCTGCTCCTGGCAAGTCCTTTTCACTACCAGATCCCAGGGCTTCCCCACTGGCTACAACTCTTGCCAGGAGCAGCTGATGCTGTGGGTAACAATAATAACCAGCATGTATGGAGGGCTTACTATTATGAGACACTACACTATGCATTTTAATCCTGAACCCCCCCCCCCCACAAAAAGTAGGACTGGTTCTGTGTTACAGGGGAGGAGCCCAGTTCCAGCCTGACTGCCTGCCTGGGGTCCCAGCTGAGCTGTCCCACCGGCCCAGAGCGAGACCTGGCAAGGACAGGGGAGGGCATGTGCACTGGCCGGCTCTCAGGGGCTCTAATTTGTTAACGGCTCGCCTTGTTCCACCAAAGATGTAAGTCACTGAAGAAACCATCGTTCCTTCATGCAAGCTTTCCTGATTTGAACATGCTTTTGTTTAAAAAAAAAAACAATATACACACCCAAATAGCAAATCCAAGGAAAACTGTTGCCATGCTTGAAATAACGCTCAGCCATCTCCAGAATGGCAATAAATGTCAGACTCTGGGGAGCAAAGAGAAGCGTGAAAGGCAGGCCATCTCACTCAGGGCCTTCGAACTTGCTGGCTTTGGGAGCCCTTCCAAACGATGTGTCATGAGAACTGAGTTAATTATCCATATAATTCACACATTGGGGCGGGGGCTCCGCAGGGGAAAATAGAGGTTATCTTAAGACCTCAGGCAGTCCAACAGCTAAGGAGGCTTGTTGGGGTCCCTCAGCTTCAGGAAGTGCCCCCTACAGGTGCCACCAGGTCTGCTTGGAAGATTGTGGAAAGGAAGGCCTCTCCGTGAAGTGTGACTAGTCTCAGAGCTGCAGGTGGTCACAAGCGGTGAGGGGGTGGGGGCGGGGGTAAGGACTATTCAGTGCTCCACAGTCTTCCCAGGCCGCTTCTCCCCGGGCCTTCTGAACCCGCCCACCCCCGCCCCTCCTTCTCGGCTCAACTGCAGCCTCTCTCATGCGCTTCCTTCCCTCTTCCAGCCGCCTCTCCTCCTGGCCTCCAAACTGCAGCCGGTGGGATGGGCGTCAGCCAGGGCGTAGGAAAGGGGAAGCCACACGAGTTTTCTGAGAACTCGAATCCCCAGGAGCCAGGGCAGTCACAAGGCCGGGGAGGAGGCAGGCCGCAGTTAATAAACCCGAATGCGGTCCCACCCCTGGGGTGGGGACCTGGGCTCTCCCCTAAAGTCGGCCGCAGGGAGGCCCCTCCGGACGAGTGACAGAAGGCTGCGTGGCACCTCGTACTCGGGCTCCTCTGTCACGGGAGAAGATCAGAGGCACAGCCCTTTCCAGGGGAACACTCCGAGGGGGGGATGGCTGCCAGACACGACGCGACCCCAATCGGACACTGTTGTTAACTCTTCCCAAACATTTCCCCAGCCCCCGGGGGGGGGGGGCTTTCTGGGCGGGGTGGGGGTCACAGCCGGCCCACCCGAGGGTGAGGAGGGAGGGAGGCCGCCACTCCGGAGTCGGGCTGGAGCTCACCCCGACCCTGGCCCACACTGGCCGCTGTACTGGCACTGGTCACTGACTCGTCCTTGGGGAAAGTCGGGACGCCCGTCTTGCTGATTTCCGCCCGGAGGGCCTCAGGGCTCTATAAGCTGGCTTTCGTCCTCCTACCACTGCTGCCCTGCGCGCCCTTCATTTGGGGGCGCAGGATCTAAGCGTCCCCCGTCCCGTGCCAGGGACAGAGGAGAGAGCCGCAATCTCGGCTTCAGTAACTTCCCCGCCTACCTTCACTGCACTGTGAAACGACCTCGCAACCACATCTCCCCCTAAGACTCCATCCGATGCGCCCTCCACACCCCACCCCGGTGCCCGCAGCCCCCGAACCTTGCCGCAGGGGCGCGCGCGCTAGCTCGGGCCGGTCCTCGGGGAAGGCGTCGCGGAGGCGCTGCCACAGGCGGCCGAGGTCCGCGAAGCTGCGGTGCAGGTAGAGCACGCTGCGGTCCGACCACTCCGTGCGGATCTCGAAGAACTCCTCCTCGTCGCCGCGCCGGCTGACGATGAGCCTGCGGATGCCGTTCACCCAGCAGCCGCGCACGAACATGTTCACGAGCGAGGTGCCCTCAAACACCGCCGAGGCCATGCCGCGGGTCGCGCATGCCCCCGCCTCCGGGGGCGCCCTCGGCCCCCGCCCGCCCGCCCGCCAGCGGGGCCGGGGTCTGCCTGAGATCTGCCCGGAGCCGGGATCCGCCCGGGAACTCTCCCGGGCCGGGGTGTGTCCAAGGTCTCCGGGGCCGGAATCGGTCCGCCGCCGTGTGCCTGCGGTCTGCCCGGGACCGGGGTCTCTCCGGGGTCAGGGTCCGTCCGAGGTCTTTCGGGACCCGGGAGCCGGCTGGGGGTCTGCGGCGTCTGCCCGGAGCCGAGATCCAGCCGGAGTCCGCTGGGAGCCGGCGTCCGTTCCAGGTCTGTCCGGGGCCGGGGTCCGTGGGCCGCTGTCCTTCGTAACCTGGGTCTGTCCGGGGTCCGCCCCCCACCTCCGCGTACACTCACGGGGAAGCGCGGCGACTAGTCGGTCGGGGCCGGCCGAGCTGCGTCTTTATAAGGCACTTCCCATCGCGGGCGGCGCGGTCGTCGACGTCGAGGTCGCCGCCGCCGCCTTCCTCCCTCCTCCGGGTGAGCCGACGCCGGGCGGGCTGCGAGCCGAGGGGGTGGCCTGGCCCGCCGCTCCCCGCGCCGCCCACGCGAAGCCGGAGCTGCTGGGGCCGCCGGCACCCCCCGGCAGCCGGGAGCCGGGCCGAAACCCGAGCGCTGGGCCCCGCCTCCGCGCCCCCCGCCCGGACCCAGACCGCCCCCGCCCCCGCCGCTTCCTTCCCCTCCCGGCCCCAGAGCCGCCGGCCGGTGACTGGACGAGGAGCGGGGAGTGGAGGGTGGGGCGGGCCTGCGCTCCCGGGGCTCTCGGTGCACACTTTCTTCTCTTCCGTTTCTCGCTTCTCTGCAACTCTAGGCTGGGGGCTGCGCGCCCTGCCCGGCCGGCGACGGGGAAGGGACGTGCACGTGGGTCGGGGCGGGGGACCAGGGCTTGGCGGAGCGCGAGGGAGGCTGCGGTGCCGGGGGTCCGGACGCAGTCGGGACTGTTGACCTCGCCCTAGTCTCCGCGCCGTCGCCCACCCACGCCGGGCTGGGCCGGGGGTCGGGGCTGGGGACCGAGGCCCGATCTCCCCACCTTTAGCCCTGCGCTCAGCGTCCCGGCTCCGCCCGGTGTCCGCTCCCCTCCCCGCGTCCCCCCGCGCATTCCAGTCGTGCCAGAGCCCGGACACGCACCGCAGACAGACCGGGAAGCAGAGGGACAGACAGGGAACGGGAGTCCCTTAGGACCTTGGCCCCCTAGCCAAGCGGTCGCCCTCCAACAGGAGAGGGGATCCCCCCCACCGTCTCCCCCACTGCTAAGAAGTGGGACAGACTGGTGGTGGAAAGGAGTCTCAGAAAGAGCCCCTCGAAGTGAGCTGGTCGCCCTTTGTGAGTCTGGGATTTCGGAAGTCGATCTAGGGAAACTGCCCATATTGAAAACTGGGATTTACAGCAGCCGTGATTCACAGCCCATTTTTTAGCCTGTTCCTAATCGGAAAATAATTTCAAGCGATAGTTTAAGAATTGGAAGTTGGTTCCAGAAGTGTCTCCTGTGACCTCACATCGCCCGAGGCAGTGGTGGGAGAGACAGGGCTAGGCCCCCTTCAGCGCTTTGCAGAATTCCAGAAAGCGCAGAGAGCCAATCTAGGGCACAGAAACATTAGAGGCTGAGGGCAGGTTGCTGGTCACTTGACTCAGTCTAGCCTGAGATGTGTCCCCCCGCACCCCATCCCCCTGACTCCCGCCTTCCTTCACCGCCACCGGGGTTTATTCAGACTGCTCCAGTGACTTGAGGTGTTCTATCTTTGGGGCTCACCATCTAGGTTTATCTTTTCCTCTCTGTGCTGGCCTTGGTCTCTGTTTGCTGTGTGAACTGGGAGAAGGAGTTTTCAGCAGTCTGGTGTGCCCTGCTCCCACTGTGGCTGCAGTCAGTAAGTGGGGTGTGTGACTGATAGGCTGACCACTGGGAGTCTGCCCTGTGGACCAATGGGCCTGAGGACAGAGGCTCAAGGAGCTGAGCAGGGCTGCATCCCATCTTCCTCAACAAAGCCTCAGTGAGGCCTCCCTCACAACCAAGCCACCCAGGACACACACCCTTTTTCTCTAGCTGCCCCTGGGCTGAACAGCCCTCGCTAGGATGTTCAAGGCCAGAATTAAGGTGCTTTTATGCATTCTGTAAAATCTTGCCTAGGAACAATCAGATCTGCGGTCCCCCGTTGCCAAGGAGGCCTAACTTCGTGAAGCTGTCCCTCCGTCTGTGCCAGGCATTCCTGGTCACCAAAGAGAAGAAAGTATTTTCCTATCAGGGATGTTTGTTTGAAGAGACCCAGAGGGAGAGAAAACTATATGCCCAAGTAGAAATAGCAACTGCCCCAAAGCCGCGAATAATTACAGAAATTCAGATTAAAACACAATGAACTATTTTTCACCCATTGCATTGATCCAGATTTCTAAAAATCCATTAAGAAGAATTATCCCAAATCTGGAAAGAAGGCAAAGAGGACGGTCACCTCCCAATGTATGTCCTTTCAAAGTTACTGGGCATTGTTTTAAAGCCCAAGGATTGCCTAATTTTCTAGGAGAATGTACCATTGTTTGATGTTGCTGTTTACTATTAATGAAAGGCTAAGACTCTGCAGGGTTATATATTAACTTGCAGATTTGTGCTTGATAGAGATGCAAACAATTTTTGCCCCAGAGAAAAGATAACTTCACAGGTTATCTTTTATTGCCCTGTAGGACATTAACCATTTTTATATTTAGTCTAACAATCTTATTTTAATATATTTTAAGGACAGTATAAACCTGTTTCTCCAAATGGTCTTTGAGTCAGCTTTTTCATCTTACAAATTTTCTCATTAATTAATGAGGGGAATAAAACTTCTGACACATGTGCATGCCATATTTGTAGAAACATTTGACAGTCCTATTTAACTTTTGGAAAATTATACTTGGGCAAGTCTGACAACAACAAGAATTTTCACAGAACTATGGACAGACACGTACCCTCATACACTGATTTTGGGTGCAGGAGTTGGAGCAGGCTCTTTGAAAGACAGGTTAGCAGGTTAATTATTAAAATTCAAAATGTGGATGACTTGTCACCCAGCAGCCCCTAGGATTCAATTTTAGAGAAGCATTTCCACATAAGCACTGAGAGAAAGGTACCGAGACACTCATTGTTGCAGTGTTGGTCACAGTAAGACACTGGGCAGAACTTCAATGTTAATCAGAAGTGGGATGAATGAATTAGTGACACATGATGGAATACTGTATAGCTATGAAAAATGGATCAGTTAGAGAAGTATGGAGAGATCTCAGAATGACTGATGGGTATAGCATAGGAATGAAGATATATAGAACAAAACAGTACTACATTTGGAAAGATACCTGCCAAATTCATAAAGGTAAGTTTGGGGTGGTGAATGAGTCTGGATAGGAGGGTGTCAAGAACATTTACCTATAATGTTCTTATATACATTTCTGAATTACATGAATGCACACACCATGCAATTTTTTAAAAGGACAAGGGCGCTGTGGGAGGCTAAAAGTCCATAGCCAGAGTGCCCCTACTGCTCCTCAGTGTTCGCTTTGGGGAGGCGGGAATAATCGCTAATGAGACTTCCTTCCTCTTTTTTTTTTTTCCCCAAAGATTTTATTCATTTATTTGAGATAGAGAGAGCATGAGCAGGGGGAGGGACAGAGAGAGGGAAGGAACAGACTCCCTGCTGAGCAGGGAGCCTGATTCGGGGCCCGATTCCAGGACCCTGAGATCATGACCTGAGCCAAAGATAGATGCTTAACCAACTGAGCCACTCAGGCGCCCCGAGATTTCCTTCTTAGTATCTTTCTGTCCTTTAAATATTATCTGATGATGCTGATGAAAAAAATCTCTGAAATAAGTACCAGAACTTCTGACTCCTGGTCCTGCCCTGCCCCTGCCGGACCCCAGCTGTTCAATCTCAAACTGCTCACTTGAACTTTCTTGGCCTGGGTTTTCCTTCCTGTGAATTACTAATTGTAAACAAGAATTTCGAAAAGCCCATGGCTGCCACAGGGACAAATATCGTGGCAAATGGCAGGAAAGGTTCTGTGGACACCTCTGAGGGCCTATGGGATATAATTGTGAGGACAAGATACAAAGGCAGAGGAGTGGTTTCGGGTTGTAAATCAAGCCGGGTTGCCCGCTCAGGGCCTGTGCAGACCTAATAGAACGTGAAAGGGAGAACAAAGAGGAGCTCTCTGGGTCACCTGTGCATCTTTCCAGCCTGGTGCCGGGTTACACAGGTGCAACGGAGGGAGAGCCATGGTGTAGGTGAGAGCTTTGGAAACCAGACACTTCCATCTGATTAGTAAGAGTCACTGAAATCCAAGGCCTTTACTTTTGAAGGGATGTTTGTTTTTCTGTTTTGTTTTTTTTTTTTCTCAAGATTTTATTTATTTGAGAGAGAGAGAGGGTGCGAGCACACACAAGCAGGGGGAGGGGCAGAGGGAGAGGGAGAAGCAGAATCCCTGCTTAGCAAAGAGCCTGACCTGGGACTCGATCCCAGGACGCTGGGATCAGGACCTGAACTGAAGGTAGATGTTTAACCTACTGAGCCACCTAGGGACCTCTCTGTTTCTCTCCTGCCATTGTTTGTTTCGGGTTCTTGTTGTTGTTGTTGTTTTGTTTTAGGTTCTATCCTTTCTAGCTCTCACCGATAACACAAAAACTGTGCAGAGTAAGTAGTCACTTCTCCGGGTGGCCCTCTGTGTCCCACTCCTGCATCCCACAACACCATAGGAAGCTGGGGGCTAATGCCAGGAGGTGAGATGGGGATGGGAAAGGCAGTCCCGGCCCCAGAGCAGCCCTAATCCCACAGGTTCCACCATTTCATTCACCCTCTCCCCCTTCCTAACACTCTACCTTCACCAATATCCAAAACCACAACTAAAGAGTCTTTTTTCATTACTGCTGCTTGGGATATGTTTGATAAATTGCTCATATCAGCACCAGGATTTACTTTTGAGTTTCACCTCCCCAGTTCCAGACACAGTAAGGAAGTTCAGTGAGCATCCAGCCGACCATAGCTCTTCTCTGTTTCTCTTCAAAAGAAAAGCTGTGGGAGGGCCTGCTGCTGTGAACATTTGCAGTACATTAACTGATCTGATCCTCCCAACAGCCCCCGGAGATGGGGGTGGGGTGGGGTTGGTAGGAGGATAATGGTCCCTTGGCCCATGAAGAAACTTAAGGTTCTAAGAGGATCTAAAGTGGTCCCAACCCATAACTAGCCCCAAACTGAGGGCCTCCCTTGCTCATCCTGCCAGCCTCGTCTGGC